CCACCACCACCACCACCACCACCACCACATACCCGCAGCACCCCTCTCTGCACCAACACAATCGTCATGGCATTTGCATCTAGATCCGTCTCCCTTTCGGCGTTGAGGCAGCTGGGCTCCGGCCCTGCTGTTGCATCCAGCTCCCGAAACGTTGCGGCCGCCGCCTTTTCGACGTCTTCGAGCTCGCTTGCCGCTTCGAGCCAAGAAGATGCTACCGCACGCAAGCCTCCCTTCACAGCAGCAGCAGAGGCATCGCAGGGATCCACAGAGCGCAACGCCATCGGGCGCGGTCGCAAGTCGGCAGGCAGGGGCAGGCCCAAGATGCTCGCGCCCTTCGACGAGTGGATCCAGTCGGATGCGCGCGCGTACAAGCAGCCCAAGCCAGGCATGGGCCCCAACTGGATCGGCGACACTCCCTTCCCGCTCAACCCTTCGTTCAACCCGCCAGCGCCCGTGCGTCAGAGCACCAAGTCGGAGATCTGGCGCTTGCACACCAGCGACCCGGCCACCTACACCATCCGTGCGCTCTCGGACAAGTTCTCGGTGGGCCTGCAGAGGATGGAGGCCATCTTGCGCCTCAAGGCACTCGAAGTCGAGTGGGCATCACAGGTAAGTTTCTCTGTGCCGTCCCGCATGCCAGCCCTCGACGATGCTCGCCAAAATGATGAGCAAACAAAACAATTCGATTAGTCTTGAAGACATCCACATGGTTACCAAATTTTTACAATCCTTACTATACTGAATCCTCATCGTCGGGAGCTGCATCGGCTTCGAATTTCGGTCTACGAGTTCAAACCGCTGACGCTTCATCTTGCAACGTGCACCGTAGGACAAGCCGCTTCAGAGCGAATTCCAGTCCAACATGGACCGACTGTTGGGAGCGCAGGATCGCAAGCGCGCGCCCGAGCCCGAGCCGTCGCAGCAGTCGACGGACAAGTCGGTGCGCGGCAGCCAGCACGAAGAGTTTTCCGAGGCCGCGCCGCTGGATGCACCCTCGGTCGTCGCACCCGCGCTGGCCGACGAGCGTCTGAAGCGCTCCTCGATGATCGCCGCGCTGCCCAGCGGCGGTCCGGACCACGACGCACACAGCACCAGCAAGGTCGTGCGTACCGGCAGGGCGCCCATCGCCATCACCAATGTGTCGGGCGATTCGTACATGGGCGCAGGTCGTGTGCACCGCAACGTGCGCCGTGCCGAGAAGAGGAAAGGCTCCAAGGCTACTTCCACAAGAGCCTGATCCACATGACAGTCAAAGTACAATTCACATGCCTTTTTCATTGTGCCGAGACTGCCATTTCTACAAGCATGTGTGGATTTGTTGCGTTGTGATTGGCGAGAAGCAGTGTGAAGCTAGGCGTAGAGAGCGAGGACGCGGTCTTCGATGCCGTCGCCGATCCAGCGCGTCTTGGAGTCTTCGAGGCCCACCAGCTCGAGGTTGTCGCGCTCGGCCAGATGCAGCTTCTCAAAGTCGGGTGCCTGACCGGGAGCGGTGGGGTTCATCATGCCCTGCATCGGCGCCGCGGCACCCGACATGGCAGCCATGTCGCGCGTGCCGTCAGCAGCTGCAACGCAGAAACCACAAAGAGATTCGTCAGTTTCTCAAGACCCGCGGCAAGACTGGGAAGGTGGACTCACCATTGTCGTCGCCGAGCACGAGGCGGTAGACGGCGTTGAGACCGAAGAGCGTGAGAAAGTACCAGCTGAGCGACGAAACCCAGGTGACGTCGAGGTCGGGCGTCTCGATGCCCCTCTGCAGCATCACCTTGAACCGCAGCGTCAGAGGGAAGGGCAGCTTGACTGCGTCATAGAGAAGAGCAGCAACAGCATGAACGGATCAGTACACGCCGACAAGCTAATTTGGGACAAATACTTACGCAGAACAAAGCCGGAGAAGAAAAAGTTGATCCAGCCCATGATGAGGGTCTGTGGGATCATCATGACCATCTGCTTCTTCATGCCGTCCATCATGCCGTCCATACCGCCCGCGGGCTCAAACGGGTTTTTGGGCCCTTCCTTCTCCTCCTTGTCCTTGGGCTGCAGGTAGGAGCCGTTGGAGAGCGCCTCGGTGAGGAACGCCTTGCGCGACTGGAACGACGATGGTGGCAGCTGAAAGTAGTTCTGTCGCAGCGCACTCGATCGCGCCATCACTCGTCTGTGTGGCAGCAGAGGTCGGCAGCAAACGTCGGCAGCAAACGTCAGCGAATGTGTCCAATGACCGGAAGGGTGTGTGGGAGGTGGACACTCACTGTTCACGCAGCGCGGGGGCGGCGATGCTCTTGGGTGGCGAGTTGAGGAGCGAGATGACGTTGTGTCGCAGCACGCCGACGAGTATCATGACCACCAGGATGGGGATGAGCACCCAGTCGCGGATCGCGCTGTCGAGGAAGAGGGACTGCTCGAGCGCCATGGTGACAGCAGCAGCAACAACAGCAGCAGCGGTGCGGCGGTGAAGACGAGCTGTGATGGTGGTGGTTTTCGACGACGAGAAGAAGCGCGGTGGGTCTGTGCTGTTGCTTAGCTGGCTGGCTGGCTGGTCGTCGGCGGCGCGAGTGTTAAAAGTCAAGAATGTTAGGTCTCGCGCTCCAGGCCTTCTCCACTTGTCGCGGCGCCGCAAGAGGAGCCAGGGTCTGAGCGCACGAAGCAGTGTTCTTGCGGCGTGCTTCGGCTGCCTCTTATCTTGCCACCACACCTGCTTGACCTCGCCATCTCGTCGTAGCACACACGCATCGATCAGGACGGCGAGCTCGCGACGCAACGATGGCCGAGCCTCTGCTCGGCGTCATCCTCGCCACATCGTCATCGCGAGGAGACCACGTCGTATTCCGCTGGCCCAACAATCCCAAGATCTTCAAGCGCTACTCCAAAGTCAAGTACTACACCGAATCGCGACCTTCAGGGCGTCCGCTACCGGATGACGACCTCGATCCCGTGCGCCAAAAGGCAAAGTGGGACAGGCACGACGAGGATGACGACGACCATGCCCACTCCGACGACGCCGGTCAGAGCGATACCCCTTCGTCATCCGACATCGAAGACTCGGACGCCTCGCTCGCAGACGACGACGAGAATCGTTCGGTCCGCGATCGCGCCGAGACCGTCGCCTCGCACGGGCGCTGCGGACCCGCCGCTGCACCCTCCACAAATCGATCCAAATCCAAGCCTCGGCGGCCGTTGGTGGGTCTGGAAGAGTCCACCCCCAGCGTCCGCTCGGCAGACCGCCACAACGCCAAGGACACGCAGGACGCCAACGACCGAGCGCCCGACTCGGATGCAGGCACATCCAAGGAGCTCTCGCCAGAGGAAAAGGCCCGGCGCGAAGAAAAGGCCGCCATGGCATACAAGACCTATCTCGGCTACGACATCGAGATCCTCGCCAGCATCCTCAACCCGCGCCCCGAGCTCGCACACCAGAAGTTCGAGCTCATCGTAGACGATCTCGCCTTCCTCGGCCATCCCGTCGCTGCCAGCAAGGCGGGCACCTGGGGCGAGCCTGACAACCACGATGGCCATCCAGGCGCAACCGACTCGGACGATGCTCACGCTGCAGCGCCCTCTCAGCGCCGAGGCCGCTCAGGCTTACGCAAGGAGATCCGTCCCTACGACGTGCCCGACGGCCATACCCCCGCGAAAGAGCACGACGCGGATTCCGCCAAGAAGGGCAAATCCGAGCCCAAGACCTCCGACACGGAAGCGCCAGCCTCCAAGGCCGCAGCGCCTCTCACGCAGTTCCACCTGGTGCTTGTGCTCGATCGACCCGACCCGTCCACGGCCATGTCCGGCATGGATCTCTCGTCGTGGCTGCAGCTATTTTACGACAACATTGTGTTCAAGATGACCGCGGCGCTGTTCGCCGAGCAGTCCAAGTCGGACTATGTCGGTCGCGAGACCGAAAAGCTGCTCGCCCTGCGCGAGCGCTGCATGGACGACGGCCAGGCGTATTCGGCGTACGCTGCGCAGTGTCTCGGCGTCTCGTCGCTCGCGCGCTGCATCCGCGACCTGCACAAGAGCATCAGCACCTCCTCCGACGCCTTCCTCACCATCAACGACCGCATCGAAGTGCATCTTCAACTCCCACCCATCCTCCAGGACCCGGTCAACCTGCCCAAGACCGTCGACATCGAGACGGAGCTCGATCCCAACGACCCCATCTTCCTCTCGGGCGGTGGGTTTGCAGGGCTGGGCAAAGAAGGTGCCGACGAGGATGGCGGAGGTGGCACGTACGATCGGCTGCTCGAGCTTGCGCCGCACCAGTTGAGCTTCGAAGAGTGGTGTCGAACCACGGGGCCGTATCTGCTGCCGTGGAAGACGCTGCTGCTGCTGCATGATCAGCCGGACGAGGCGGCGCGTGGGCGTCGGACGCCAGGTAGTGCCAGTCCTGCAGGCCACCTCACGCCCGCAGAGCAGGCGCCCGAGACGCACGGATTCGAACAGCTAGCACGCAACTTTACCTCGCTCTTCCGCCCGGATCTGATGCACTCGCTCAACTTTAGCGAGGTGGCGGATATGCTCGGCTGGGACCTGTACGAGGATGTGTATCCGATGGTCCGCCACCTCATCTACTACCGCCAGGCGCGCGTCATTGACATCCCACGCCCGGGCCACGTGTATGCCATCTCGCCACTTTTTGACTTTGGCCGCCTCGGCGCATTGTCTCGCGTGTGGGCGCATACGTTCCCCGAGCTGGCGCCGCTGCCCGTGTTTCTGTCGCAGCTGTCGTCGTCGAGTCGTGCGCTCAGCGCGCTGTTCCCCGGACGCCACCAGCGGGAGCTGGCGCTCGAGGTGCTCATCTGGCTTCTGCGCCGGGACGTGGTGGTCAAGATGCACATCCGCTTACGCCTGTTTGCCACCGAGGCGGTCAAGCGCCGCACCGCCGAGAGGGGCGCCGAGAGGCACGAGCGGCACCGGGCGCAGAAGCAGCGCAAGAGGGAAAAGCTCGCGAGGATCGAGGCGAGGCGAATGAAAAGGTCGCAGGCCGCAGAACAGCAGAAGCGCAAAAAGGCCGAGCAGGCCCAGCGCACAGAGACGCACGACAAGCACGAGCACAGGGGCAGGAGCCGCGAACGCGACCGATCGCGCTCCGTCGATGCCCGCCAGCAAAAGCAGCACGATGCCGCTGGCGACGATCTGTCTGCGGCCGCCTCGCACATGAGCGTCTCGCGGCCCTCGGTCCTGGCGGACCCGGATAGCGTGGCTGAAGCGGCGGCGCTGGCAGCGGCCATCGCTGGCTCGGACATGCATGCTGCGCTGCCACCGTCCGGTGATGCGGATGCCAGCCACAGTCAAGACCATCGCCATGCGCATCATCACCACCATCATCACCATCGCCACCGCCACGGTTTGGTCCACAAAGATGCAGCTGGTGCTAGCGAGACGTCGGGCGCGGGTGCGGGTGCGAGCGGTGCGATCCCGATCGGATCGGGCGCACCTTTAGACGAGCTCAAGTTCGAGCGTCGGCCCGTACTGCGATCTCGCTCGCCCTCCACGGCTGCCCCGGGGCTGTCGGTGAGCTTTAGCACGCTGAGTGAGCGCGGCGAGTTGATCCGGCGAGCGCGTGCGGACACCTCTGCGTCCTCGTCGTCCGGCGGCGCAAGAGCGCGCGGTGATGGGCTGAGTATGACGCCCACCGCGTCGCAGCAAAGTCGGCCAACGACACCGAGCATCCTCACCGGGCCGCGCAATGTCCCGGCGCATGTTAGGGATCGGTCGGTGTCGGCGGTTTCGAGTAGTGCAGAGGGTAGCATGCCGCGGCGTGCACGTGGGCTGAGTGGCCGAAAGATCGCTCGATCCCGATCACCCTCGCGTGCCCGCATGCGTGTTCGCGGCTTCGGCCTAGGCGCCGAAGTGGAAATCGACGAAGAAAACGACGATGACACTACCTCGGCCATCAAGGTGGTGGAAGAACCTCGACGACGCATTTCAACCGCAAGCGAACGTCCGGAACTCCCCCCGCCCAGCGAGACGGACCATTCTTCGCACTGCTCGTGTTCATCGTGCGACAGCTCATCTGCATCCGACCTATCACTTTCGTCGGATTCGGATTCCGACTCGCAATACGCCCCCTCGCGCGCGGTGGACGAGTACACCGAGTCGTTGATCGTCGAACCCGCCCGTGCGTCCAGACGCGAAAACGACTACATCGCAACCATGGTCGCCGACAAAGACCCCGCGACCGTCAAAAACTTCTTCCGCCTCCTACCCTATCTCAACGGCAAACACTCGATCGACGAAATCGAATACCGCGTCAAGATGCGCCGCAGAGACATCCGTCGTCTCCTCGCCGTGTTTCGAGAGTATATCATCACGTTTATGCATCCCTGATCCTCGCAATTCCAATCGCAACCGTGAGAGGCGGGGCTTCTGTTCAGATTCCATTGTATGTGTGTTGTTGCGGGGGGGCTCAGCTCATCAGCGGCTGAAAGGCGGGACGCAAGAGCTTGCGGCCCTCGACAACGTCGTGCGCCAGACGCGCCACGTTGGCTTCCGCCACCACCACTTCCGGCGCGAGCTCGAGCCCAAATGCATACCGGATGGCTGCCGAGATGCGCGCTGCCTGCTTGCGGTCCCAGATGACAAAGTCGTCGCCGCCATCCGACCCTGCGAGCGGCACAAGCGGCGCCCCTGCCTCGGCCGTGTCCACCGCCTCCTCGGGCACACCACCTGCGCTGGTGCGCGTGGCAACAGGCTTGGCGGGTGCGGGCTGTGAGATCGACAGCCGCAACGGACGAGTCGTGGGCGCCGAAAAGCGCACGATGCTCGCAATGATCTCCCTCGTCTGTAGCAGCTCTTGCTCCAACGACGTGTACTGCTCGGCCAGCGCGCCTACGTACACCTCGACTGGCTGCGAGCGCGCCAGCACATTGTGCTTGCCGTCGTGGTGGTAGCGGAACTCGTACACACCCGGCGCCCACGGCAGCTTGTCGTCGCAGAACACCGACACGCCGTGCGCCCCATCGCGCTCAGTCTCTCCTTGCGACGTCTGTGCACCCGAATCGGCGCCACGATGCACGTCGCCCACCCACTCGTCCTGCACCACACCGAGCCACTTGCCCTGGCTCGAGATCTTGGTGACGAGCGACGCCTCGTCCGCACCCTCCGGTCCGCCGAAGCGCGAGAGCAGATAGACGCCGATCCAGTCGCTGCGCGAGTGGTTGGGCGCCGCGCGCCACTCGACCGCAATCGGCTCGCCGAGGTGGAAGCGCAACGGTCGTGCTCCGCCCTGTGCGGCCGGACGCACGTTGAGCGCATAGTGCGAGCGGTCGACGCCGTCCGACTGCAGTTTCTGGTCGTCCTCGACGCGCACGATGAGCAGCCGGTCCCTGCTCTGCTGGAGCAGCACCTTGGTCTCCTCGAGCATGCCCTCGAAGCGCGGGCGCGACTGGCGGAAGAACTCCTCGAACGCCTCGGCGGCGTCGCGCTGCACCTTTTCGATGGTGCCCTGGACATTCTTGATGGTCGGATGCTCCTGTGCCAGCCGGAAGAGGTCCGAGTCCTTGGCTGCGACCCACTGCGACTTGAGCTGCTTTGTGAGCCCCGAGTCCTTGCGCAGCGCCGCCTCGCCGTACAGCTTGCGCATGTGCGGGCCCTCGACGTACGACAGGAATCCCCAGTGCGCCACGTACGACACGATGGCCATGACGAGCGTCAGCTTGGAGCCGGCGACGAGTGCGAGCCCAAAGAACGCGGCACCGCCCATGCTGCGCTCGGGGTTGTTGAGGAAGCGGTAGATGCCCGTGTAGTAGAGCTGGTGCGGATACTCGTCGATGAAAAAATCGCCGTAGAGCCAGCCAAAGGGCCCGAGCACCTCGTACGACGAGTTGGCCGTCCACACGTGCAGCGCCACCAGCAGCAGGCCGAGCGTGTGGCGCAGCAGCTCCGGCCCCACGGTCCAGTCCGGATGACCGATGGGCGTGTAGCAGTTCCAGGCGAGCGCGCCGAACGACACGTACGTCATGACGAGCGAGGTGTTGTAGATGGCCTTCCAGTGGCCAAACGCCTCGAACACGGCGTCCTGGGGCTGCGAGTAGTTGTAGTGCTTGAGAAAGTGGCGCACGATCCACTTGGACTCGGACTGGCGCGAGAGCGCCACGCCGAGGCCAAACGAGTGGAAGGTGCGCCATGCGAGCGCATTGGCAAAGAGCAGCGCGAGGCGCGCCGTGCGGCCCATCGAAGGCAGCAGCAGCGGCAAGAGCGCATAGCTGGCACCGACGACGAGGAGAAAGTCGTTGGCGCGCATGGGGTCGAGGTTGCGGAAGGCCACCGTGTCCTTGCGGAAGATGCGGTGGTGAAGGTCGTGGAGCGTGGTGACGGGGCGCTGCTGCTTGCCGCTCTGGATGCCGGAGAGGTGCTGCTTGATAGCATCGTCGGAGGACGACGAGGTTCGGAGCGCGTTGCGCTTGAACTGCTTGCGGTGCTCGTCGTCGGACGCCTCGTCCTCGGTGGTCAGGGCGGTGGAGCCCTCGGTCTGGCTGGGAGTAGGGCCTTCAAAGTCCTGGCTGCGCGAGCTGGGAGCAGCCGGGGAAGGCGGCTCGGCGGCGGCATCAGCCTGTGCAGTAGACTCGTCGACCGGATTGGCAGCCTTGCGGGAAGCCGCGTTGAAAGGCGCCTGGCGCAGCGGGACGCGAGCCGCAAGCGGCTTTCTCTCGCCGTACGTGCGGTCGATGTGCGGGCCTTCGAAGAAGGTCATAAAGAGGAACTGGGAAAAGTGGGCTGCCAACGAGACAAAGAGGACGGCATAGCTGCCGCTGACGAGCGAGAGGCCGTAGTAGCCGGCGTATCCGATCGAGTACATCGGGTCCGGGGCGATCTCGTAGACGCCGTCAAAGACGAGGCTCTGGAGGCAGAGGAAGAAGCAGTCGCCCCAGTACCAGGCGTAGTCTTTGACGACGCGGTGCGCGTCGATCTTGACCCAGAGGTTGAAGAAGATGAGTGTCCAGCCTGCGATCCAGCGGAGGATGTGCATGGCGAGCGAGTGGTTTTCGGGGAGGCGGGTGCACGAAAAGGCGAAGAGCGAATAGGCGACAAAGTCGTTGAGGAGGATGACGTCTACGATGCTGCGGAACATGAGCCATACGTTGTAGTCCATGGGCATGGCGTCGAAGACGTAGTCCTTGTCCATCTTTGTGACGAGCTGCTGCTTGACCCAGCCGTGGATGCGCGGACGGCGCTTGGGGTCCATCCAGCCGTTCTGTTTGACCTGGCGGATGATCCAGCCCTTTTCGCTCTGCTGCTTGAGGATCCAGCCGAGGCCTGCGTTGTACGAGGCACGCCAAAAGGCAAAGTAGACGAAGAAGAATATCTGTGCGGCACGACGCGAGAGGGCAAAGTAGAGGATGATCTGGAGGGACAAGGAAACGACGGTGACAATGTCGAGCGGCGTCTTTGGTTGGCGCGGATCAAAGATGGACGAGAGCATGTCCGGGGTATGAGGCACCGTAAAGACTGTTGCGAGTCCGACAAATGCATCGGACACGGAGATGAGCGCATCGTCACGGACATTGTTGGGGAAGGAAAGCGAGATGGCGGTAGGGAAAGGGAGGAGCGAAGGGAGAGGGAGTGAGGAAGGGGCAAGGTGATTCGGGAAGAGAAGGTGTCAGAGACGGCGGTTCGGGAAATGCAAGTGTCAGTCGGGAACGTCGATCTGGTTCGGCTGTCATTGTGGGCGAATGGGGACCGAATCGGACCCTGCGCACATGCGACTGGCGCCTGTGAGGCCAGCGCGGAGAGGGCAGTGCGTGGACAAGGGCAGAGGCAGGGGAGCGACGAAACTCTTGCGGCCAGACCGGGGGTGGCGAGTTGAGCCGCGGCAAAACTGCCGACGCCTTGCCGGTGTCATGCGCGAGTGATGTGGGGGTTTTGTGTGGGGTAGGAGACGTACCTGTGCCGTCGGGAGTCCTTCCGAGCACCTTTGGAAGCTGTTGCTGCGGTCCGTCCGTTTTCGCCTCCGGATGGTCCTTGTCCAGGGCCGGGCTGGCACGCTCGGTGAGGTCGGAGCGCGACGAGTTGGCGGGACTGGCTTGGGTGGTGCGCTTGCGCAGTCCCTCGAACGCCGTGGCGTCGTGCGATGAAGCGGGGGCCATGCTTCGAGATGAATACCCAGTCAGCTGGAGATGTCGATGGATGTGGTGGAGGGAGAACGGATCTGTTGACAACGATGGGCTGCTACAGTATAGCGAAGGGGAAGCACAGAGGGCGGGCGGCCATGATGAAAAGAGCGCAGTCGGCGCAGTCACCTTTCGCTCTTCG